AAAGAACAAGCCAGATGTGGGTCCTGATTCCTACTCGCCCTTTGTGCGGGTGCTGCACTGCCAGGCCCCTAATAGTGAAGACTTGCTCTCCTCACTGGTGGGACTGGGGAATTTTATCTGCTTGAGCATCACACAGGACACTGCTGCTCCCAAGTCACTTCTCACACAACAATTCTTAGGAACCAACCAGAAGAAACTTTCATTTGTAAATATACTGAAAAAGTTTATAAACAGATTATCAACGATAATCCGAGTGCCTATTAGCTGTGAGAGGCTGCCCTGGAAGGGGCAAAGGAAAGCAGTATCTCCCCATGGAGGAAAGTAAAGGGCCCCCTGTATGGATAAAAAGCCCAGTCAAACCTTAAGTCCAACCAAACCATGACTATTTGATACGCTGGACAAATATGGAAGTTTTTATATGTAAAGAATCTTTCCAGAAAGATAAGAGTGACACCAGGAGTTGCCTCTGGGCACAGGGAGGTTTACTGCAAAGCCCGTTAGGCTTTTCTACTTGTCATGTGCACTTCCCTCTTAATTAAAAGAGAAACCTTCATCCATCAATCCAGAAGCTATTCCTCTCACCTTGCAGCAAGTCTGCCCTTATCGTAACAAACTTTTTCAGATTTTTCTCTCCAGTGTTACGTTTATAATTCGATGGATGAATCCAGCGTTGTAAGAGCTTTGTGCTCATGGTACCAGACCTGAGGTCTTTTGGAAGATAACGTGGTTAAGCTGTGAGAATCCGATTGTGCCCATGTACATATTCCATTCCACGCCAACTTTCCTTTAAATTATATGTGTGTGTGTGTGTGTGTGTGTGTGTGTGTGTGTGTGTATATATGTCAAGGCTTAAAAGGCTGAATAATACTTCTACAAACAACTGCGAGTAAGTGACGTTCCAGTTTCTCCTTCTTAAGAGTTCCTTATTCAAACAAGACTTCCTTCTAAGCGCCGTAATGACGCACGCGAGCACCTCTGAGACCTTTACACTGTAAATAAGACGGTGTGCTAAAACCCGGGGCCCTGACCAGCAGCTGCGGGCGGGCCCCTTCCCTCTTCCCTCGGTACCCGCGGACCGAGTAGGCCCCGCAGCCCAGCGTACTCACCTGCTGCCGCCTCCATCCCACCCGGGTGGCCGCACGGCTTCCAGCCACTTCCTCCTCGCACAGTCCGCCTCCCTGCCTGAGTGAAGTGCCTTCGGACCAATGGGCAGCGCGACCCCCCCACGACTGCTCTTGATAGGCCCATTCGAGCTACCCTCAGCCAATCAGATCGCACGAGGGGTTTACGCAAGTTCCGGCGCAGAGGACGTACCGGACCTGGACCCACTTCCGTGTCAACGACCCAGCGTGAGGCCGCTTCTTTTCCTCGCCCCGCGTCCAATGGGCGCGCGGGCCTTGTCTCCGACCGCTTGAGATGTGGCCAATGGAGACGTCGGGTCAGGATTGACAGATCCAGCAGCCTCTCAGCAAGAGGCGTGTGCCACGAGGACCGCCCCCCCGTAGCCCCGAGCCGCGCGCGCTGTGGGGCCAATGCGGCGCAGGGGGCGGGCCGCGAGGGCGGGGATTGTTTACGTCTAGCTCCGGAGCGGAAAGCAGGGCACAGCAGGCCGGGTTGAGCGCAGCGGCGCAGAGCGGGTGCAGGTGAGCGGCGGGCCGCGTCCGCGCCTCCCTGGGTCTCCCGGGCCTGGCCGCCCCGCCCGGCTCGACCCCGCCGCGC